CGATTCACTGCAATATGATAAGGTAAAAGCTGCCATTTTGCAAAAATATGATATAAACCCAGAAACATACAGGCAAAGATTTCGCTGTCTTGAAGTTTTTGATGAGAGTCCCAAGGAACTGTATGCAAGACTGAAAGAACTTTATGAAAAATGGATTCAGCTGAAAAACAGAACTGTAAAAGAAGTTGGTGAAATTATTATCTTGGAGCAGTTTTTAAGAATGCTGTGTCCTGAGCTTCAGGTCTGGATTAAGGAGCATAATCCAAAGTCTGCTGCAGAGGCCGCCATCCTGGCTGATGTGTTTGTAGCTGCCCGAAGTAAGAGCAACAGTGCATGGAAGGCTGCCAGAGATTCACGTCGGTCGCAACCCCCTCAGCATCCTCAGAGGTCAGCGACGGGTGTGGGTAAGCCCTTTACAAGGGGAAAAGCAGCCTCTGAATACCTCGAAGCCAGGTAAAAGGCCTCCAGTGTCCTACATTTGTGGGCAGGAAGGTCACGCTAAGCCCATGTGTCCTAATAATCAAAGCAAATTATCTCAGATGTGTTTTGTGCCTTACCAGAATGTGGATATTAAATCTGAGAGAAAGCAGTCAAATAAAATCACCACAGTTAAGATTAATGGACAAGAAATTAATGCTTTAATAGACACTGGCAGCACACAGACTCTGGTACACAGGAAATATGTGTCAAAAGACTACACATGCCCCTCTGAAACCATATCAGTTTGCTGTATACATGGTGATGAAAGACCTTACCCTACTGCTGATCTGTTTATTGAAGTGCAGGGGACACCCCATCTGTTAAAGGTTGGTGTAGCTGATAATCTGCCCTATCCTGTAGTTCTTGGGGAGGATCTGCCAGTCATCTATGATTTGTTGAGAGAAGTGCAAGAGTGCAATGTTGCTACAACAAGGGCTCAAACTAAAAATCAGGATGAGCATTATGCAACCCTCAGTGCTTTACCCTTGAGGCTGAACTAGAGACAGATCCCGGGAAGTCTCGGAAGCCACGCAGTCAAAGAAGACATGAAAAATTTCAACACACTGTTGGAAAGACATCAGTTCAGGCTGCTCCAGATATGCCTTTAGGTTTTTCAGTACCTACGAACATTAGACAAATGCAGCAGGCTGATCCAACTTTGTCTGCCATGTTGCTGAGGGCCAAGGAAAAGGACTCTGTTGAATCTGACACAAATAAAGAGCTGTACATTCTGCAAGATGGCATCTTATACCACCAGCACAGCCAGGTTAAACAGTTAGTGGTCCCTAAAGTAGCCCGTGAAACAGTGCTTACTTTGGGGCACTCCATTCCCTGGGCTGGCCACCTAGGGAAGCATAAGACCACCGCTCGCATCAAGCGATACTTTTCTGGCCTGGTTTGCGCTCAGATGTTGCTATGTTTTGCAGGAGTTCTCCTCAATGTCAGAAGACTTCAATTAGAGTCCCCACCAAAGCACCACTCCAACCTCTCCCAATCATTGGTATACCATTTCAGCGTCTTGGCATGGACGTAGTTGGTCCTGTAGAAAAAAGTAAATCTGGAAATCACTTTATGCTAGTCATTACAGACTATGCTACGAGGTATCCTGAAGTCTTTCCATTAAAAACTGTTAAAGCAAAAACTGTAGCTTCCTCATTGATTCAACTGTTCTCAAGGGTTGGATTCCCACAGGAGATTTTAACTGACCAGGGCACTAATTTTATGTCCACACTGTTGAAAGAGGTCTATAAGCTGTTAGGCATCAGGAGTGTGCGGACAACCCCTTATACCCACAGACAGATGGACTGACGGAGCGCTTCAACCAAACTCTCAAACAAATGCTCCAAAAGTTTGTCAATGATACAGGGTCTGATTGGGACCAGTGGCTGCCATACCTCCTTTTTGCCTACAGGGAAGTTCCTCAAGCCTCCACTGGCTTCTCCCCATTTGAGCTTCTTTATGGCCATGAGGTGAGAGGCCCATTGACCCTGCTAAAGGACTCATGGGAGGGAGAGCAAGGTAAAGAGGAATCTGTCAATGTTATTTCAATGTATTCATATGAGAGAAAAGCTTCAGCAGATGAGTGAACTGGGTCAGAGCATATGGCAGCTGCTCAGAGCAACAAAAGACTTTGTTTGATAAAAAAGCTCGCCACAGGAGTTTTGTCCCTGGCAGGAAGGTTTTGGTAATGTTGCCAACTTCTGACAGCAAGTTGCTGGCAAAGTGGCAGGGACCCTTTGAAGTACAGAAGAAACTTGGACCTACTACCTACAAAGTTTCTACACCAGGTCTCCAGCGAGGGAGTAGAGTGCTCCATGTTAACCTTCTTAAGGAATGGATTCCACGCACTGAGAATAAAACAGAGGGTTTGCTTATTCACAGCATGGATGAGGAGGAAGAAGTTAATGACTACTTGCCTTCAGTAACAGTCTCTGTCCTGGACCTGAGCCATCTCACCAGTGAGCAACAGTCTCAGGTAACGCCTCTGATTAATTCAGACCTATTTCAAAAGTACCCAGGTCGCACGAGTCTGGTGGAGCATGACATTGTTTTAAAACCTGATGCAGCTGTGAAGCGTATGAGTTACAGGATACCGGAACGCTTCCTGGTGGAGTTAAAGGAGGAGGTGGACCTCATGCTGTCTCTTGGAATCATCCAACCTTCAACAAGTGAGTGGTGCAACCCTGTTGTGTTGGCTCCGAAAAAGGATAGCACGATACGTTTCTGCATCGACTTCAGGTACCTCAATTCCATATCAAAATTTGACTCTTACCCGATGCCACGCATTGACTATCTCATTGAGCGTTTGGGGAAGGCAAAATATCTAACGACCATTGATCTCTCCAAGGGATACTGGCAAGTACCTGTCACTAAACGGTCTCAAGAGTTGACAGCATTCCGTACTCTGTGGGGATTGTTCGAGTTCAGTCTTGCCATTTGGTCTGCATGGGGCCCCAGCAACATTTCAAAGGCTAATGGATAAGGTACTCTGTGGGCTCTCAGCATTCACCTGTGCGTACCTTGATGATGTTGTTGTTTTCAGTGGAACTTGGGAAGAGCATGTGGATCACCTAAGAATCGTGCTGGATCGACTGTGTTCAGCAGGGCTTACCATCAATCCAGCAAAGCGTGCTCTTGCTAGGACTGAAGTCCAGTACCTCGATTTTACTGTTGGAGGTGGGACAATTAAACCACAGGTTGACAAAATTAATGCAATTGCATCATGTCCTCTTCCACAAACCAGGAAACGGCTGCGATCCTTCCTCGGCATGGCTGCGTTCTACAACAGATTCATTCCCAATTTCTCAGCTAGAGCAGCCCCACTGACGGACAGGATTGGCTCAAGATGTCCGAATAAGATTCGGTGGACAGCTGAAGCCGTTGCACCTTTCAAAGACCTTCGCCAGTCCCTGAGTAAGGACCCCGTTCTGCACTCACCAGATTTCACAAAAGACTTTACATTGCAGACTGATGCTTCTGAAAGGGGTTTGGGAGCAGTGCTTCTGCAGGGACCACCAGAGGATCGACATCCTGTCGCCTACATCAGCCGTAAGCTGCTACCAAGGGAGAGCCGCTACGCAACAGTTGCGAAGGAAGCCTTGGCCATTAAATGGGCACTTGACTCTTTCAAGTATTATTTGCTGGGAAGAGAATTCATCCTTCAAACTGACCACAAAGCCCTGCAGTGGCTGGAGAGAATGAAAGACACTAATGGGAGAATCACCAGGTGGTATCTGGCTATGCAGCCATACTGGTTTAAGGTTCACTATATCCCTGGTAAAGACAATACCACTGCTGATTACCTCTCTCGCTGCCTGATGGAAGATCCAGAAGTGGGGGGGGTGGCCAAACCCGTGGCCACACTCTAAAGTCGGTAACTTTTGTATTTTCATTCTTCATTTGAACATAGTAATACATTTTAGTTGCCAATAACTTTATTGATTGGTTTGGATACATTTGTTCTATTTGTAAGCGCGCACATTTAGTTTACTTATGTATTCATACTACTTCATTTCTTTGCTTTCTGACTAACTTTTGTCTTTTTATTTCTTACCTGCCATCATCCCTGGGAGTTGCTGGACAAAAGATGGTAGCCAGGGTTTGAAACCATTAAATACAAAGGAAGATAATTGGACCACACCACCACTTCCTGCTGAAGGGGGGAAATGTGTTTTCTTTACTTTAAAAACAAAGTATTTGTATTTAATTAAATATTTGAGTTTAGGGTTTAATGGGGTTTTTGATTTTCTTCTTTAGTTTATTAACAAACCAGATTGTACTGCATCGTTTGTGATTTATGATTGTTTTGTGTTTGTTACCCCTCATGTGTCACAATGGTCTGATCAGCCATTATATATATATATATATATATACCCTTGTATGTCATTTCATGTTTAGGTCAATTATGTATGTTTGAGCAGTCATTTGGTTAAGGTTGCAGTCTTTGCCTGAGTTCAGTTTTGTTTCTTTGACCTCTTTTATGAGCTCAACATTTATTAGTCTTGTAAATATTTTTGGGGGTTAAATAAATGGAAACTATATTTCTAATAATTCCTGGGCTCCTCCTGTTTTTCAACTCAGTCCATCACAATAATATAATGAGTAAGACAAACATGGGAGAATAGCATAGTGTGCTATTGGATCACTGTGGTATTGTGTCACTTCCTGTTCTTGTTTTTCTGCAGGTTAATCTGTGCAGCCCATTCAATTACAAGCCTTTATCTCGACCAGTCGTGGCAGATGGCCGCCCCTCCCTGAGCCTGGTTCTGCTGGAGGCTTCTTCCTGTTAAAAGGGTGTTTTTTTTTTTGTTGTTTTCCCCCCCCCTTCCCACGAGTGCTTGTTCACAGGGGGTCATCTAATAGCTGGCTTTTTCTCTTTATATCACAATCTTTACCTGCAATATGAATAAAACTGAATAGAATTGGAGGAAAGAGTCCTCAATTTTGCACCAGGAGTACTACTTCAGTCGTAACCAGCTTTGTTTTTGACACCAGAACAAACAAACTCTCAGAATCAGAGGTTCTTTGATGGTTCGTTTATATTTTTTGGAGCAGTTGCAGTCTGTTTGAGGCAATAGAAAGATTCACAATTTCTCTTTTTAAAACACGTTTGGTCTAGCAAAAAAAGGTCACCGACGTTATATCTCCATACAGGTCTCATAGTAAGTTTTCTCTGCCTAAGGATCACAAGGACATACATAATGTTGTCAGTTTCCAGATGCTTACTAACAAAAATACAGCACGTCTGCTTTCCATCCAGTGTGTGTTTGTGGTGGTGGGGCTGCTGCATTACGAGTGGCTTTATCAAGCATTGGAAGATGACCTCTAGGACTTCTAAACAGCAGTGAGTAGGGAGAACCAGGGTCTGGTGTCACCTTTTGCAATTTAGCCTTCTTCACTTACAGAAAAAAACAGAAGAAAGAAAAAAAAAAAGATATTTCAGTTTGACAACAAAATGGGCATGCATTGACGGGTGCATGTTTTGGTATCTGAGACCAAATCATCTAAAAAGCAGAGGTGCACTGGTGACACACTCCAGTGCATCAGTGCAGCACGATGGGTGGAGTCTGAAAACATCTTGTGCACAGACAGAATACAGACGTGTTGGAAATACTTCTCACGGATGTAGCACCTTTGCTAGACTGCCTCAGTGACGACGTGGATCCCTGGGCCCTGGTCTACTCTACTCCACATAGCAACAACATTACTACACAAAGTCGACAATTTTAGTGTGCTGACCAGAAAATTAACTGTGAACAAAATTCCTACATGTAGCTGTTTTTTTTTAAATTTTTTTTTAAACAAGTCTTTTTTTTCCATAATGTTGCTGCTATAAGTGACATCCACATCTGCACATAAAAAGTATATATTTATATTTATATAATATATATCCGTACTCTATTAACAGTTGTTGTCTACCATGAAGTTAGAATTGCCAACCATCTCTCAGAAAAGTTTTTTCTTTTTTTGTACTTCAAACATGAATTAATTTACAACACAGAAATCAACTAATTTTGTACAGCTCTGGAGGAAGTGAGGCTCCACAGTCCCTCCGCGATTTTCCTTTTTCTCTTCTTCTTTTTTTTTTCTTGTTACGATTTTACTCGGGAGTTTCGGTGCAGTTCGACAGTTTTCATCCCAGTAAAACACAGTTTAGAAAAACCAAAGCATTTACAAAGTGGCATCGTTAGAACGGCGAGGATGTTCAGCTGAAAACCTTCAGCTCAACTTGGACCCTTGAATGCACCGTCAACACTCCCCTTTCAGCTGAGGGGAAGTATCCCTCGTTTGGCACGGTTATATACATGATGAACACAGGTCACTCAAAGGAGGGGGTAAAAGCAGGGGAATGGTGTGGAGAAGATGTAACGCTAGCCTAAAAAAGCCCAAAAAACAACCTTTCTTTAGCAGTTCTGGCAGCTGTACTAACTGTAGGGCAGTGGAAAGGAGCACCGTGACCTTGCAATTCATATCCAGTGTTTCACATTAGCAACATCCATGATATGAGTTCTGAAAGTCTGTGTGTGTTTGGGTAAAGGGGCGTACTTGGTGAGGAGGTGAGTCGGAACCAGTGGCAAAAGGCCTGACATGACACAGAAAATAGTGCAATGTACAGTACACAATGCATCTCCGTAAATGTACAGTGTACATCAAATACTATACAATCAGAATAAAAAAAGTAGAAACACAAAAAAAAGTGTTACAAATGACCAAAAGTCTTTCTTGCCCAGAGAATACGTCACGCTGAAGCCACAGACAGAAAGAAAAGTTTTGTGTGACAGACGTCCTATGTGTCCTACAGTTCTTGTGCTTCACTTTACTAAAACCCATGGATGCTATACCACATATTTACAGATTCCTCTTGGGGTATCTCTGACTCGCTGCAAAACATCTCATCCTCAAGTCCACCAATCCACGTTTATCTTTCATCGTCCTTCTTCATCGCAAAACCGTTTGCCAACTTTTGCTCTCCCGCTTCCCTTTCATGTCCCGACTCTCTTCTCTCTCTCCGGGTTAGTCTCCGATTGACATTCTGTATCCAGAGGCCTACAAGAAGCGGGCGCTCTTTCTGTCTGGTGAACCTTCTCTACCACTTGTTGATCACAAACGAAACACAGAAAGAAAATGTGTCGGTCAGTTTGGTTGGTGGTGTGCATGCACATGCTTGGCCACTCCTCCGTTTGCTTCTGGTCCTCTCCTTCCTCTCAGAGATGTCCCTGAAAGGAGTGAAATGTCTATCAAGCTTTCTGCCCGCGTCTCCTTTCATGCGCTCCATCCTCCCCCTTCATCATCCTGCTATCTATGATGCTACTCAGGAACTACAGGGGAGGATGGGGAGGGAGGAAGGGAACCTGTCCTTTCATCTTCTTTCACTCCACCTTTAAGCCACCCCCCCTTCACTTCCGGGTTTTCTTTTATCCATACTCTCCTCCTCCTCCCTCATCTCCCCTTACACCCAGGAATCTGGTGAGGCTGGGTAGTGGCTGGTCTCGTAGTTGAGCTCGCTGTAGGGCCGCGAGGCTGAGTAGAAGTCTACATAGTTGCCGGTGGACTTGAGGCCCTGCAGGTGCATGTTAAGGTCACCCTGCGGGGGACGCCCTCCAGCATGAACCTGGTTCTCGTAGCAGGCCTGATCCTCGTAGTTGCTGCTGTCAGGTGGAGGAGGATTTTGGAAAGGGGGGTAGGGTTCTGATGGCAAGCCTTGAGAAGATACCTAGAAAGAAGGAGAGCACAATCATTACAAATGACCACTCATGATTGGTCCAAGTCACCACAAGTGAGAGTGAGGGGAGTACTGGGAACCATGAGGTTTCTCATGTGACACTGCACATTGCTATAGAGTCATCCACCATATTGGATGTGATACAATACAAAGCCTCCAAGCGATTGCTTTGGTTGCTAGCAGATGTCTACTACTAACTACTAGATGAGTGGCAGTAAAATCTGAAAAGGTGTGACACAAACAGGAAATGGAGATGTTCACCTTCAAGTTAAAAGCTGTGCCTTACGGCTCACATTTCAAAAGTTGGAACTTTAACTTTGAAGGCAAATTTCCAATTTGTGTTGCACTTTTTACAGTTTCACTCCAGCTCAGAGAGCAGCTGGCCAGTATTTATACACAAGTCCATCACTTCTATTCAAACTACCACTGCAACAATATGCTTGTGACCAAACCAACCACGAGGAGCTTTTTTTCCATAGCAACAGGTAGTTGACAGATGGTCATGCATCCGTCTTTAAGCGTTTGATTGGGACCCTGTTCACTTGATTCTACGTTGTCACTATTATTGTCAATGCCATGTCCAAATAAGGTAGCGTCACATGGTTAGTGGTCACATGTCTGCAAAACCTCAATAAAACTGGGTTCTGACATTCCTTCATCAAAGTGGGTGATGGGTAGCGATTAGCTTTTACCGGCAACACCATCCAACCAAAGACTAGACTGTGAGAATAACTGGAATTCACGGGTGTATTGCCATAGTGCTTAAACAGCATTCTTTATAGGTTTACAGTGACCTTTTAGGACTTCATAGTGTCTTTATAGGATCATTATTAAAGCCTTTACGATTCAGTTTCACTGTGATATTTCCTATTCACCTAGAACTATACAGCAGATCTTCCTCTTAAAGGTGAGATGAGTCATAAAGAATTGAATAAAGCTGGCAGCGCAGCATGGAAATATTAATGCTTTCTAGTCTATCAGATGCTGAGTGTTGTGGGTTTTCAAACGTTTCCTCAGTGAACTCGGGGCATCTTAAAGTATTGAGTTCAAATATCTAACCACTAACTAACCTGTCTTTGGTGTTTTTATTTTTTCCTGTCTCTTTACACTTTACTCTTTACATCTTATTTTTATTCACACCTGCTTCTTTGTAGTGTTAGTAATTCATTTCATGAAGGAAGGAACCTTCTGAGTTTATAGTGGACATGTATAATGGCTAATTTACACTATGAAGCCCAAAAAATGGTAAATGGCCTGTATTTATATAGCGCTTTACTAGTCCCTAAGGACCCCAAAGCGCTTTACATATCCAGTCATCCACCCATTCACGCACACATTCACACACTGGTGATGGCAAGCTACATTGTAGCCACAGCCACCCTGGGGCGCACTGACAGAGGTGAGGCTGCCGGACACTGGCGCCACCGGGCCCTCTGACCACCACCAGTAGGCAACGGGTGAAGTGTCTTGCCCAAGGACACAACGACCGAGACTGTCCGAGCCGGGCTCTTGAGCCACGATCGCCCCTGTAAAAATGACATAGATTTACCGCTGTGCCATCTTGTGCCAGTACAGAACGGGATTTCACTGGGTAGGGTGGTTGGTTGGTGATAAGAGATAGCATAAACAAATGTAAGTCTAAATAGTAACAATAACTCAATAAGTTTCAGTGCAGCTGGCCAAACAACGAGAAGCAACAGCAACAAACACTTACTGCTAAAGAGACAGAGTGACAGTGGACGGTATATCCTTGCTTTTTCAACATAAAACTCATTTTTGCAGATAGGGGCAGTTATATTGCTTTTTAGTGTCAGTGCCCTTGTTTTCCACTGAGTTATCAATTGTGTCACTAGTTTGCTAACATAAACTAATGTAAGTCTATTAGCCGCAACCAGCCAACCAACCCAGTGATGATTACGCTAAACATGTTCTAAAAACGTTAAGCCGCACAGTGTTAAACCTATGTTAGTTTTTGAGAGCAGGGCTCCATGATGTAAATTAGCCTTTAATGCTGGTGTGTCAGCTAGAGGGAACAAGTCACCTTTAGCATGTACATGAAACCTGATTATGGAATGTGTTTCCTAAAGAAAGGGACTTGTCATACCTGATTATACTTCAGGTCATCAGTTGGGGACACATACGCTCCTCTGTGTAGTGTTGAAGACCCACCGGAGATTTGACCTGCAGACACACTGAGGATGAGTTCATGCTCTAAATCGTTTACTCAGTTTTTATAATTAAAGTAATCAAATGGGAGTAGGCTGTCAGTGGTATCAGCTGGACACCTGCTGCATTAACATTAATGAAGAGGATGATGAATGGTGATTAAGGAGAGCTTGGATTTTTTTGTTTCCCATGTAACAACTGCTCTTGGTGTGAACTCTCTCCAAGGATAGACCGCATACAACAATGAAACCCTCGCTGAAACCCAGGATGTTGACAACAAGATTAAAGCTCTGTGCTGATGGTGATGTTGGAAGAAAAACGCTGCTGATAATGAAAAGTTCCTTATAAGATATGATGGTGCAACAGCCTAAGGCCTTCCAATGGGAAGATTGGTGTTAGAGGCCAGAGGCCAGAACTGACTTAGCTCAATGGACCAGAGAGAAAACACAGACACAGCTTTCAGGTGTGCAAAGTGAGCAGACAGCAGAGGTCAGTGGTCTCAGATGCTAGTTGGGTAGTCATAAAACGATTCATTGATAAGTGGCTGCTCATGTGAGTCTGCAGCGTCTCTAGGTTTCTCAGTCAAAGCCACCCTTCACCTGACACATCCAATTTCAAAGCACTAACATAGCACAGGTAGAAATACTAGCTTGAGGACTCATAAAGGGACTTCACTGACCAGTTGGTCATGTCACTGTGGCTACATCCATCTTTTATATACAGCCTATGCATATAATCAGGGGTGCACATAAGTGGTCCGCAGGTGTGCATTCGCTGTCAAAATAAAAGACGCACACCAGATAAGAAGTTGCAACGCGCGTTTGCGTACATATAAAAGGCAGTGTTTTTGTCCACTAGAGTGGGATTTTCACGGCATATTCTGCACCACATCTCTGTGCGTTCATCATTTGTTTGAAGCCAGCTCACCTCCTGCAACCACTTTTCTGAGAATACGCGCTTCTTTTGTGGTTCGGACTCCTTCTGACATTTCTTTGGGGGTGGAGGAACACCAAAGTAATTGCTTAAAGGAGCTTCTTCGACATCTTTAAGAGTTCTAAACAAATGTCTGTCCTCCTCCAGAAAATCTTATGTACGCAAACGCGTGTTGCAACTTCTTATCTGGTGTGCGTCTTTTATTTTGACAGCGAATGCACACCTGCGGACCACTTATGTGCATCCCTGCATATAAGAAGGTTTATGGTTGGAGTGCCTTAAAATGGAAAGATTTAGTCTAATTTATTGGTGTCTGTTTGTCCAGACAATTTTTATAGAGAAATTTAAAGCTGCTGCTAGCAGTCTGTTAGCTAACCAGCTAACTAACTAACCAGCATCTCTAAGATTCTCACACTAACTAGCTACATCTTGATTAAATGTATTTTGAGTCACCTGTGATGTTTTTGCACAATGTCAGTTTTAACACAATAACAACAACCTACTGAACAAAAAAGACATAACAAGTGTGATGTAATAAGCACTGACAGGTGGATTTATCTTTGGGCAAAGCTAAACTACAAAAATGAAAGTGGTTTTAATCTTTTCACTGCCATGATCTCTCTCGGGATAAAAATAAATAGTTTCCCATGAAACGATTCCTTTCATATCTCTTAACGCACACTCCTTTATACTAAAACCATCACCTCTGCTGGAAACAGCTTTATGTGTGTTTGTGACAAATGTGCAGTTTGGAATTCCTACCCGCCATGGCGTCTTTCCGGGATGTGTGCTCGCCCTTGCTGCTATGGTAACTGGCATTGCCAGTTGACTCGTAGTCTGCCTTTCTCTCCTTCAATGCCATCATCTCCCTGGGGGACGCAGGAGCACTCGCTACACCCACACACACACACACACACACACACACACACACACGTATGTTTAACATTAGATCAATCAACACATTATCAATACAGATCAGGAAGAAACTACAAAAGGGAGGACAAGTGTTTGCAACACAGTCGAATCCTTTCAGAGCAACGTGAACTTGTTCAACACTCTGAGCTCTTGCATTTACCTGCCAATGAAAGCAGAGAAGTCTGTGGCTTCACTGTATGCATTACTTGCTCTAACCATCACTCTGGAATGAGTTAAAAACAGGGGTACTGGGAGCAGCTTTGACTGTGGCTCTGTGGGTTTGGACCATTTTCCACAAATCTTTAGCTTTTTGACCAGGCTGTGATTCAAAGAGGTAAATACTGAGTCATCCCTCCTCCCTATGTCGGCTTTAGTCTATCCTCTCTTTTCTTCTTCTTATCCTCTTGCTGCCTGACTGCAAGCCCCTCCTATATATTCTCACCATTTTAGACTCCCACTGGCTTATTAAGTTCTCTTGTTGTTGGTGACCTGAAAACCTTTTTGTACCCAACAGGCATCCTGGAAGTATCAGAAGAAATATAAACACCCACAGTCCGAAAAAAGAGAAGGGGATGATGGGATCAGTGACGGTGACAATAAGTTGGATCTGGTAAGCCATGTCGGCAATTGATTTGGTGCCATATGGTTTGCTCTGATCTACAAATCACATACAGGAGCCTCTCACATAGAAGCTGCTGGTTATGACGCCTGTTTGTGTTACTGTGCCTGTTTCTTTGCCTGTTATAATCCATTTAGTATTGATCTAGATGCTCATTACTGCTCTATTGGCACAACAAATCTGTTAGTTTTTGTATTGTTGATTGTCATTTATGCTTAGAAATATTTAACCATATATGCTTAGAGGTTTATAATCAATTGTGTCGTGATAGGATGTGTGATCTTTAGCAGGCTGCAAAGGCAAAGGTACTCTTTGTGTGTATGTATACGTCGTATGTTAATGAACCTATGCATATTCATGTAACCTCGTGTTACGGGGGAGCGGACGAGAGCAACTGGGGTCAAGCGAAGGAACGGCGTTTGTCCGGTTCTCTCCCATGCACGAGAAACATGAAGAACTTTGCCTACTTCGTGTCTTGCTTGCTGTGTAATTATATTGTCTTCAACGTTCCAGCGAATAGGTTCAAGCTACAAACCTATCAAAATCCATTGTAATATCAGCATCTAAACACCCAATCATCGACTTTTGTTGAAATGCATTTATTTCTATGGTTTTAAATACAAAGGAACTATTTCCTTTATGTGCATTTGAAAATGAAGAGTGAAATTAAAGAAAGGCTCAGTGGACAATCTGTGACTGCCTGCAAAATTTTACAAATGTGAAATGAGTCTTTATCATACTTATTTCTATTTTGCCGGTTTGTCAGCTGAAAGGCTCATAAATCCAGCCCTGGCTATTGTTTTTAAAAGTAGATGGCTAATACGTGAAAAATGTTCAAATGCTCTTGCATGAAGTCATTTGAAATTATTTTTGAATTATGCATTAGCTCACAGTTGGCAGCTGTAGCTGCCTGGCTCTGTGAATGACAATAGCACTATATTCTATATATTACAGGGTGGATTTCTATGAAACTTGGCAGTCAAGGTCATCATATAAACCTCACTGACTTTGTGATCACAGTCTCCATCAGCAGGTTCCCACTTTTGGCTTTCTGGGAAATCTTGCGACACCTGATTGCCATTAAATTGGGCATTATATAAGAAACTTCTTAAAGAGTACATATTATCTTCATTTCCCCTCCTGTAAGAAACCTGTATTGTTCATTTAAGCTCATTAAATGCTAAAATATCATCTCATTTTTCATTTAAAATGTTTTGTCCCTGGCTGTGAGTAAAGGCTGTGCCCAAATTAGACTTGAAGGCAATATACTAATTGTGCATTTCTTGTGAACTGCTTTCACAGTTTTACATAAAAAAGTAATAAGGTGGTTTTGAATCAGCCAATACAAAATATATTTCCTGTTGAAAACAAAAACTCACAGTAACTCACAATTTATTTGTTGACATAATAAGATTTTTAAGCCACTGTCTGCCCAGCTCTGTTAATGGCATCCAGAATATTAATACAATGGGAAAATGACCCATGGGTACATCTGTGGTGGGAGGGGAAGTACTAAGTTTGAAAGTCCAACATGTCCAGTCCACTAGGACTAACTCACATCTACACAGTGGATGATAATTGAAACAACTGGTTAAAGGAGATTAAACAGATTTTATAACTGAACACCAATTTAAATGAGATCTTAATGACTGACTTTGTGATGCCTTTCTCCTCCATAAACAGCTTCACACATTTGGCTTTCTGTCAAATCTTGTGACACTGTTTCTATTAATTCCCATTAAATCGCTGGTGCAGACATTTAAAGACTATATGAGCAATTTAACGCTAAAAGCACAACATAAATGCATTGGGTGTTATTTTAAAATCATAATCACTGGAAATGGAGGAATTGAGGTTGCAGACGTGACATTGAGAGCTGTGAATATTGGCTGTGGTGATGATTCCTGCTGACCTACAGTTCCTTTAATTGCTCTTTGAGGCTGGCTCCAAATGATAGTTAATCCTCATAGACTGCCACATTATAGATGATATAAACATGTTTACAGCCAGATATGAAAAACTGCTTTAGTCATAGCAAATTTCACACTTAATCTATAGGAAGGGTATTTTTTACTAATTGTACTATAAGCTTTAAAGCTGTGTATGAAGCATGTGGCCACTTTGGCAGGTTGAGTCTGATGCAGGCAGCTGCAGCTCAGCTTCACCTGCACTAATTAAAGCCATTAAACAGGATCTCCCAACAAGTGTTTTTGGTGTGCTGCCTTTTATAGTAACAGCTAGTCCACGAAGACTGTGCTCCAGTTGTGGAAAGTGACATTTTTGTACTTTATTTGTATGATGTGTGTGTCTGAGCGATGTATGTATATTATAACCAAACCTCCCAGCACTAATTATGCAACATTGGCCATAAAAAAGGAAAAAAAGATCTAAGAGTGTTTTTGACTCCACTACTAAACACATCACTAATATATTCTCAAACACATCCACACTTCTGTGCACTTCTTCTGTCACACTTACAAGCCGATGGATGAGATGAATTTAGTATCTTGTGAAAGGACACTTTGACAGCTGCCCCAGACAATCTATGCAAGCAGCAAACGGGCTTCACATGTTTTCAACCGCAATTCCACCACCCACGTAATTGCTGTCGCATTAATGTGAAAGCTTAGGCAGCACATGCACAGTGAGGAGATGCAAATGCATGTTATTAAGAGCATTATAATTTCTCAATAAACAATTGATAGCTTAGATAAATAAGTAAATATGAGGCACTCCCATTTTACATTGTCACGGGATGAACTGTATCGATGAATGCTCTTCAAGGGTTGTGTGTCTTACACAACGTGATCACTGTCAAAGTGTCTCCATCAGCCCAGAAACACGGAGGCCTTGGAGATGCTCATTATTATTAGTCAAACCTTAACTTAACACAAGGGCGGGAAACTTTTTTAGTGCAAGGATTTTCCTTGACAGCGGAGTAATTTACCAGTGGTCACTGTAGTGTGAAGGTTGAAGCACAGTTGAGATATATCGGAGCGCTGCTTGTTTGTATTGTACTGGTGGAAAGAGTGATGAATGGGAAGATGGGAGACGGGGATGTGTAGGCTCACCTGATCGATTGTTGGGCGAGGTCCGCACAGGAGAGATGGAGGGCGTACGAGAGGAAGAATAAGGTCGCTGTCTGTCTCTCTCTATCGTGGAGGAGGAGCCAACAAAATGGTACTGGGAATAGCCGTCCTGCGGGAGACCAAAGTGAAAGCAAATGAGGAGGAGAAGATTTGAGGCAGTGTTTAGTTACCTTGCAATGGTTTTACATATAATTGCACAGATTCTGGATTTATATACCCAGAGTACAGAGGCTTTACCTTTTTATAGAGGCTGCGCAGGTCTCTGTATTGCCACATGCTGTTCAAGACTTGAGATGCAGCTTTCACCACTTTGGGACTATGTCTGGGAATTCAGCAGAGAGGAAAACAAAAAAACACAACGTAAAGCTCGACCGTCCTCTGCTCTGTTTGGGTAGACGCCGTTTTATAAAAACACCACAGTTCAGAATAAAAAAGAAAAAGACACAAAATGGAGACACTAAACACGCATGTAAATCAGCATCTCATGCAGCCTTCGAGGAAAACGTCTTCTTCATCTTCTCTGATGTGCCACTTAAATGTTCGTAGAACAAATTGCATAATTGTTTTTCTGATTGATTTATTAGCCAATATTTCATTCTGTTTCCCCCAAATGACTAATGACTGTGGGTTTAATTGGCTCATATGGCATTATCAGTGCGTAGGAAATGAAACTTTATTTCTTCGAGACATTTTGATAATGTTGTTGTTTTGGATTCTCAGATTGCGGGCTGTGTAATTTCAGCAATGCAAATAGGGAACACTGGAAAAATGTTCTTTGAGGAACAACACAACTGAACTGGTACCTCTAATTTTATCTAAATGTGAGTCTAATAATAAACACACTACTAATTCGTTTTAGCCTGTTATCTATCATGGAGAATTGAATGCCATGTTAGGATATAGACATAGACAAAACAGAAAAAGCACACAGCAGGTGCAACATTTTTTCTACATGACAAAAATTAGAAATGTATACGATATGCAGTTAGAACAAAAGTGAGCTAAAATTACAGCTGAAGTTATGCTACATCATATTATCTATATCCATATTCACTCGCTTTTATCTGTAATCTTTGTCTGTACTTTAGTCATTCCTCAGTGCCAAAATCTAATCATAACACAGCTGACCTGCTGCTAAAACCAACTTAGCAGATGTCAGTAGCTGTCATCTAGGAATTTTAACTTGGAGAACTCCCACTCTTTGAACTTCTGGTTTCCTAGGGACCGCTTTTAAATCATATATCTAATTGCATTAGGGATGTGCCTAACTATTTGACTAGATGTTTAAGCACTGCTTCCTCTCTTAGCTGGCAACAACTGATAAAAATAAGTCCCAAAAGGTTCTGTTCATCTGGACGTAGCGTTTTCAGTGGGAGAAACGTTCCGTCACTCATTCAAGTGACTTCTTCAGTCTCAGCTGACTGCAGGTTTCCCCAATCTTATAAACAGTACATTTACACAATGACTGAAACTAAAAACCACTGAATGAACAATGGGCTGGGAGGTCAGTCTCTTGATCATTAATATGAAAATTCTGTACCATTCACAGAGTTGGGGAATGGCTGCAATCACAGCATTGTGAGATGGCGAAAGACGTACCAAAATGCAGATAAGTGATTAAATGTTTCTCCCACTGAAAACGCTACGTCCAGATGAACAAAATCAACCTTTTGGGATTTGCTTACCTGGATGATTAAGCATGCATCAAGACAGATAAAAATAAGATTTAATTCATTGCTGATTTTAAGATATTATGCAACCAATAGCCACTACGCACAGCTTCAGCCTTAGAAAATGAGACAAGAACATCAACGAGCAAATTCTTAAAAATGCTTGTTGCACTTTTTCAAGTTTTGCTAACACTTGACTATTTGTTAGCGAGTATTTGTAGACAGTAAGACAAAAAGCAGACACACAGACCAGCAGACTTCTTTAGTATTTTGAAAGAGAAAATGAAGAGCTATATACTATTCTGCAACACAGTCTACACAGGCCAGTGGCAAGGAATGAAGGTTGCTAATGCTAACAAATCTAACAATAGCTATAATGCAAACAATGGGGCGATCATGGCTCAAGAGTTGGGAGTTCGCCTTGTAATCGGAAGGTTGCCGATTCGAGCCCCGGCTTCGTTGTGTCCTTGGGCAAGACACTTCACCCGTTGCCTACTGGTGGTGGTCAGAGGGCCCGGTGGCGCCAGTGTCCGGCATTCTCGCCTCTGTCAGTGCGCCCCAGGGTGGCTGTGGCTACAACGTAGCTTGCCATCACCAGTGTGTGAATGTGTGTGTGAATGGGTGGATGACTGGATATGTAAAGCGCTTTGGGGTCCTTAGGGACTAGAAAAAGTGCTATATAAATACCATTTACCAAATCTGTGTAAATGCAATGGCATATACAAAGCAAATGCCACACATTTCAGTGACATTTAAAATAATATTTGGTTATTAAAGAAGCCGATTGTTCACAACTATCCCACAGATGCATCATTATATAGCACAACTTCTAAAACTTAAACTTTATTTAAATTATTTCTCTCCAATTAATCTTTCTTGGTTAACTACAATAATAACCATCAACGTGACTATTAAACCCCATTTCTACTAGACTGCTCAAATACGTCCTACCATTTATTAATGTTTCAATCATAAATATCATCCATCTTTATCAATGGGCATGTATATCTCCAACCTTCTTTTCAACAATTCTTGAAAGAGTCATTGTAAAACAGCTAACTGATCATCTGGTGAGTTCCACAGGGTTCTGTGCTGGGACCATTTCTATTTACATTCCCTTAGGCAATTATTATTAGCAGGCATAGCATACATTTGTTTCTATGCAGATGATACCCAGCTCAAGATATCTAACATCAGTTCCTTAAAAAGCCTTCAATTCTACTTTTAGGAAGTAGAACCAGAGTAGAACCTTCAGCTTTCAGGCCCCTCTTCTGTAGAACCAGCACCCAGTTTGCATTTCAGAGACAGACACCCTCTCTACTTTTAAGATCAGGCGTAACAGTTTCTTATTTGATAAAGATTATAGTTAGAGCTGGATGGAGGTTCTCAGTCATCCAGGTCATCGTAGTCTGGATGAAGCAATCCTGAATGATTCAGCTACGACTCGGCGACAGCCAGCAGCTTCCAGCAACCACTGCTAAATGGTTTTCCTGTTTCTATAATTTCCAACATAGCAGACAGCTTTTGAGCATTGTACACGACATTTCGTGAGAAACCTCAAAAAGGCAGCAGCTAAACATAATCTTGACAAGTCTGGCAAATCCGAGGATTTGTAGCAATGGGAAACTTCCACGGCTGGATCTTCAGTTTTATAGATGCTACCTTTAAATCCTTTAAATAGGAATACCTTTAAATTAAATAATTTGTATTGCTTTAGTGCACAGTACTGTAATATAACAAACAAAAGCCTCACATAGAGCAAAGTAGTTACTACAGCACAAGCTGCAAGCACTGTAAGATGTGGACGGTAAATATGTTTCGTTGTAGCAAGTTAAACAAGTTAAAATTATACTCCTTGCTCTGCGCCTCTGTGTTCTCTCTCTTTATAGACTGTCCAATAAAAACAATGTAGGTGTGTGGGTAAACAGACTATGCAGGGAGCGCACAGGGTACAGACTGGCCAAACTTTAGCTGGATCTTATTTTCTGTTGCTTTGACTGGTGACTCACAGCACTAAGAAAAACAATCACACAGCCTCTGTAAACCTTCTCTCCTGTCTCAGCTCTGAGCCCCTTCACACCAATACACATCTATATTCCTACTCCTTTCTTATCCTTTTGATCAGTCCACCTGTTCGCATCTTGTGATTTAAAATGTGATCAGCGTATAAAAAACTATAAGACGATACAAAGTGTTGGTGCTTCCTCACAACCTTGACTAGTTAGATCATTTCTACCGTTTTTATCGTCACCTCCGCATCCTTTTAGTTTACCCCCTCATCAACATGGCATCGTCTTCCCATTCGGCTTACTTGTCTCCCTTGCTGCGGGCGATGCCAATGAGCTTCTCGATGCCGCCAGCGTCCCTCAGGGCTTTGGTGTTCTCCATGTTCTTGGTGATGACCTCATGCAGCGCGCAGCAGATAGCCGTGATGGTGTCATCCGACATGGTCTTCCCCACCAGCCCGCTGTTGCTGTTGGTGCCACCCCCTCCGCCTCCTCCCCCACCACTGCTGTTGTTGTTGTTGCTGCCTCCAGGCAAACGGTGCACCAGGTCCCTCATAGCATATTTACCTTTGGTGGGTGAGAGTGACAGGGAAAGTACGGGTGAGGTGAATAATATATGAAGAAGATACAAAAAAATGTAGGAATGGGAGCGAAACAAACATTTTGTGGAGCTTCTGTGTGGAGTTTGTGTGTTCTTTGTGTGCTTGTGTGGATTTTCTCCAGGTACTCTGACTTCCTCCCACAGTCCAAAAACCTGCATTTTAGGTTAACTGATGATTCTACACTGTCTTTCTCTGTTAGCCCATTATTAGCTGGGATGAGCTCCAGTTCCCCAACAATAGGTGTTATGGATGGGTTGACTTAGGGAGTAATTAAAAATAAACTGACTTATGCCAGGCCTTGAATTGATCAAAACTTTACTTTTTATATGCAAGTTTGTAACCAAATAGTTAGCCAGTTACTGCCAGCCAGCCTTCTTCCTGCTAAAACCGGGTTTAAATCCTGCACTTAGTCAGAAGCAGGTATGGGGCCAGCTCTGTCCAGCTTCTAACAATGCAACGAACTTACAATATTGTTGTGTTGACTTTACAAAGTAAAGACTTTCACACAGGAGGGACAGAAAGCCTGTAACTTATTAAGAGGATTCAATTCAATTTGTTGAAGTTGCACAGCTCTTTCACCTTAACCAATTCCTCCACAAGATCAACAATCCTGATGCTCTGCACTAAACTAATGTTGAAACTGCTTTCTTTGCTTTGCTTACATCAGAGCTGCTTTTATTTTTGCTATCAAGGTAGAATGCTCAAAGTTTTTGTCTCGACTGTACAAGTCTAACAATTTTCTTATTTCATTGTTTCTGAAATCACCTGTACCTGCTGCATATAAAAAAAAATCAGCAAGACGATGCCTACTCCTAGGCAAAATACCTACTTTGAGTGCATTCACATGAAGACACAAAGGTGTAACCAATGTAAAGGCCATTCTAAAGACTGGTTTTAATAAAGCAGTTAATATTAGGTTTGGTAAAGAAAACCAGACCCTGGTCCAGCATGCACATTACCCAAGTTTGATGTGGAAAAGGGAAACAGTAGAAGACATTTGCATCTAAAAAATAAATGTAGTATTAATATGTATTCTGTTCTTCTAACATATTCATCAAACATTACGTGGGAACCTTCAGAATCCCAAAACTTGCAGCAAAGACAGTTTTATTATATTCTACTAAATTTACCCAGTAGAACAATTACCAAAATGTGTTGAACTTTAATCATATGCATTATAAGCTAACAGTAGACTTAAATGTAGTGTAATTTCACATTACTTTCACTGTAATTTCTACTATAGTACAGCATATATTGTGGAAACAGCTGTAAGTCAGTTAAAAAAAGCACAGGAAAATAAAAAAGTCACAAATATCAAGATATTTTTCTTCCCTTGTTTCGTTTTTTAAAGAAAGAAGCTTCTGAAAGCTGGAGCTCACTACCACTGAGGTAAAATTGCAGCCTGGCAGGCCTGCTGTCAGACACTGATGGAAACATGACCACGTGATCTCACACAGACTGACTACATTTCCCATGACACCTGAACACTGCTGTCAGGAAATCTTGTCCGCTCTGCTCTCTGGTCTCCATTCTGATTGGGTCATCACCCTGGGGTGGCGGCGGTGGTAATGGTGGTGGTGCTGGGGGTGTAGTTGCACGTCATGACTCACTGACAGTTTGCATGCAGACTACATGTGTTTTACTGCTGCTGTACATAATATATAAGAAGAAACTGTTACTAATTTACAATAAAACTTTACTATTTCTACGTCATAGCAGGAGCGTTGAGGGACGGCCATGTGACCAGCAAGAATAAGCAAAACCTAACTGGACAAATTTTTGGAGCATGAGCAAAGGAAGAACTCTTTACATTTTTATCCACATCCAGATCAATTTCTTCAATACAGCAAAGCAAGTGATGATGCAGTGCTGCTCTAGGTGACTGCAGTGATACTAGCTACTTCTATGACTGCTGCAGAGAAATGATCTGAAGCATGATGTGCTGGAAGACATGGATAACTGTGAGCACAAAGCACTACTACTATTTTAAAATACACATTTAGTTTTAAGTGATAATTAAGTGAAAGCAATACAATGGCTCAGGTCAGATTTTTCTAACTTTTCCTATTTTACAGATCAAAAAATCTATTATCTCCAGATAATCGAAGCAATCGACAAATAAACTGGTATAACCAATTACTGAAGTTAAGGGTAGATAAGAACCACATAAACATACTGATTTAGCTACTGCCACAAAATTGCAGTACTGGAAAGATTCATCAGTCATTTTCACTGCTCAAATTATTGTTAAGAAAAAACGCTGAGATCAACAGAGAAAAAACAAAAAACGCTAGACTGTAAAAAGGAGTTTCCTATTGTCACAGAATCATTTTAATTATATTTAATTGTTTTTTTTTTTTTAATTTTATGGCTCCATCAGCTGTGGTGACACCTTAGGAAATAAGGCTGTACCTGGAGGTACTGCAGGTATTGCAACTAAATATCACAGCTATATTGTTTTCTAACACGGGTTCTTTTAACAATTCGCTCAGTCGTAATTTTGTTGTTAAACACTCCTTAAAGATATTAAGTCAAATTAGGAAATCTCTCAAACTACCTGATTTTTCAGTAGGAATGCCAATAATACATAACTGCTTGTTTAAACCAGGTAAAATGGATAGGGTGTTTTTAGAATGGGGGGGAAAGGGATTGAAATACATTGAGGACTTATATACAGATGACAAATTTATGTCCTTCCTTCAACTTCAAGAAAAGTTTCAATTACCTCAATCACATTTTTTTCGTTATCTTCAAATAAGGAATTTTGTTCAACAAAACTTTTCAGACTTTCCACTGAAGCCACGAAGTTATACTTACTTTGATATAATTCGGAAAGCAGATTTTAAACATTTGATATCTCAGTTTGTTAAGTGCTTTACAATCCCAGTTGATTCCGACCGAATTAGGAAAACATGGGCTGAAGACCTCGGGGTCCCTCTGTCTGAAGACCAATGGTCAAATTGTTTGTCCAATATTCAGAAAGGCTCAATAAATGCCAGATATAACCTAATCCAGTTTAAAGTCATTCATAGACTACACTTTTCTAAACTTAAACTTAACCGGATCTATAATTCTGTATCCCCCTTATGTGACAGATGTAAAGTCGGTGAAGGTTCTCTTGCACATTTATTTTGGCATTGCCCGGTTTTGAATGCTTTTTGGAGCCGGATTTTTATGTGGTTTTCAAACCAATTTAGGAAAAAAGTACCACGTGATGGTACATTGGCTATACTTGGATCATTTGCATCAATCGAATCTTTTTCCTTTTCACAAAAACAGATAATTACAATGGGTATGCTGGCTGCAAAGAAACTTATTCTTTTACAGTGGCGGTCTTCTTCGGCCCCGTGTTTTAACAGGTGGCTTAATGAGATGGTGTCTGTGGCCAGGGTGGAGCAGATAAGATTTGATAGAGAGGGGAAACTGGCGAGTTTTTGTATGATTTGGCAACCATTTCTAGAATTCTTAAAAAAAAAATAACTGATCATAATTCATGCCTCACCTCCGCGTGAATTATTTTATTTGTTTTTTTTTTTTTTTTTTTTTTTTCTTTTTTTTTTTTCTTTCATGCTTATAAGTTCACAAATGTTAAAAACAGTAATTGTTCTTGGTTGATTTTGTATAAGCATGTTTGTTTAATTTAAAGCAAAAGTAAAATTAAAAAAAAAAAAATATCACAGCTAGACGGAAACGCCCCAGAACACGGACTACAGATGCTTTTTTGTTCTCTAATTTGACCAGGTAGAAAAAGATTAACACGAAAGACATTTCCTGTGTATTTATTTATTATACTTTATTTATTTTTAATTAATTCCTTTAATTCATTTTGGAGGGACAATCTTCAATAATCCAAACAGTGAAAAGAGAAGAAGAAGAAAGAAGAAAAGACTAGAGTAGAAATATCACTGAACATCTAAAAACAGATCATTAAACCGCAGCAATTCAACAAGGCCAGCTACAAACTTTAAAGTAAAACTAGACAAAGAAAAGAACAGCTGTGAGCCAATGCACAGGGCACAGAAAACAAATCACAATAAAATTAAACCCCCAACAGTTCACTGGTCCCCGGTGATTCAACACCGTAACTACGCCTGTGTCAGTGACTCACTAACTCAGCTTGTTTATTGTGGGAAGTGATTCTCTCATTGCGTGTGAGAAGAGCACCTGCAGAAGCAGAAGAGTGAATATTGTTAGTGCTAGTTATTGTACTCACCGCGCTCAGCTGTAAAGTATGTGGATAAGCTGATGCTGCAGTAAAGTGATAAGCTGTCATGAACTGTGTAACTGTACTGGCACTGGATTGGTTTAACATTCTGATGTGCGTGTCTCTGATTTTTTTTTAATTATCATGATTGATACCGCTATAATTACAAAGATATAAACACACTGGGAAGTGAATGTCTGCGTTAGTTGGCTCAGAGCAAACCTTTCACTGCAGATGCTATTAATATCTGCTGCTGACAGCTCTGAGGCCTCAGCTACACATGTGTTTACATGATAAACTGCATTAGAAGCACATCACACAACATGGCTGAGGGGAAAGCAATGTGTCCTATCACAATATACCTGCATGCCCCATGGCAGCACGGCAGAAAAGTTAACATTACAGCCTGCACACGGACGCTTGCATTCACACAGAGAAACATCACATCGACCATCAGACGCTCAGCATCAGGGAATAAGTGGAAGGAAACATGTGGTGGTTGCTATGGGGACCAGTAGAAAAGCAGAGTTATTACAGACATCACCTAGTCTCAAAGGGAACACGTAGCAGTAAACGATCAGTCCAAGAAACACTACCTTCTGCTTACAAAGTAGAAACAAATTTAAAGACCGATGATGCACTATGCAATATTTTTGCAACTTTTATAGACGCTAAACATGACATTTAAACATGTCTGCAGAAACCAATATCATAAGGATGTACTGAAGCAGGGGAGTAATTCTCTCAGTGCGTGAAGATAACTAGTCTACAGAGAAATTTATTTTTAATTACTCCCTAATATCCAGAAAAAGACCATAAAGATGTTATTCTTCTCCACTGTCAGAGTGTGTTTTTGCTCTCGAAGGTTTGTTTACCCCGTCATCTTTTTCAGACTGTGTAGATTTGTTTGTATGGACAGGTGGGGGCGAGTGTGGCTACTCACCAATTAGCTCCTTGTTCCTGATGTCCAGAGCCATGTTTCTCAGGGCTGTAGCCACAGCACAAACGACCCTATCATTGTCTATCCTCAGTAACTCCACCAGGATAGGGAGTCCTTTCTCTTTGCGCACTGCAGCTCGGATATAGACGGACCACTGGGCAGGACAGGGAGAGGTGGACAGAGATGTCAGAAGACATTCATTTGTATCATTTTTGCCAAATCCATTTTCATTTTTTCGGAACCACAAATTGCCATATTTGGATAAAAGTGCCAAGCTATCCGCTAATGCTAACAAGCTTGGTTAGCTTGCTGTATTCATAAACTGTACACATGTTCTGCACAGACACACATACAGCGAATTAGTGCTAAGAAACAAACTGATTAACAACCTGATAAGTTATATAAAAATTACCCATGAATTAAGGCTGCGCCTTTCAATGACTTGCTTTTGAAACTCTTAGATGTCCATTGCAGGAACTGCATTTTTTTAGGCTTCTGTTTCGTTGAGGTTGCTGCTTTGCCCTTATCCGTACCGCACAAAGAGAAAACAGGTAAATACGTCAACAGTGGAAGTCACAGTGTTCCCTTTCGCAAGGTGTAAACGACTTCGTTCTGTTGATGCCAAGAGGTTACATCCTGTTTTCTTTCGTTGTCCTCTCTAAGCAACTGATGGTATAACTGTGCCCTTTGACACGCTAGCAGAAGTGATGTGGGCAGTAACAAAATGTGAAAGCACATGATCAAGACACAGACGCAAGCGTAAACTGGGGATGTGTCTGTGAAGGAGATGACGGGTCTGACTCTTTGCCATCAAGGCATGTTATACAACACAAGGTTTTTAGAAGAAACACCTCTCCTGCCATGTGCTCTGTAAACCAGAGGATCACCAGATCATTAGGAGTCATCCTCTGGAAAGCTTTCATTGCACAGTTATAGGACCAAAGTATTGGTCAGATTGGCACATATAGAAAACGTTCTTAATTCCCGGACAAGGTCCTCAGTACTCAGTACTGATTATTCGGATAGAAGGTGCACAAGCATGGGGACAGCATATTTAAACCCAGGATTAGTGAGGCAACAGGTGCTGCACCATCATGCTGCTCATCAACGGTGTAATTAACAGCAAATTATACATTACAAATGCTCTTAACTTTGAATTAGTGCTTTAAAAGGCAATTTTCTTTCTTTTGCATTTATTTTTACCAAATGCTGATTTCAGACACAATGTACTGAAACTACTTGTTGCTCTAAGGTAAGAGGAAATCTTAAAGGGCTAGTTAAATGATAACATCATTCTTGATCACAAAATCAAAAGAATATCTGAAGTGGTTAAGCTTTTTATATTATTACTTTCAGAGTGTTTTTGGCACCTACTGGAACTTGGAGAGCATCTTGCAGATGCCATTTAGTATCTGAATGATTCAGCCACTGCACTGCATTCTTACCTTCCAGCTGCCAGCAGCTAGATTCTGCAGAGCCCCAGCTGCTCCCTCCAGGGTGTCTGGGTTGGAGCACTCAGACAGCAGTGTGAGGTAGGGCTTAACGATGGTGGGGTGCCATAACATCTGGATGCCTTTCGGGGGCTCCGCCAAGTCTGGAAATGGGCCGACGCCGTCCCACTGCGGAAGATGGCACATAATTCAGAAAAGAAAAGCATTCAGAATTCTGTGTGAGGTGAGGTTTGACAGCGGTGGAGTGCCAGCACGGTCTCCTCAGGCAATAACGGGAGAGGAGAAGGACGAGATTCACTGTCACAAGCAACTTATGACCACTGGCAATTTTTTTTCCCACTCTCATCGGTGACTGAAATCTCACATCTACTCCTGCTTGGATGATGTTTTTTTTTTTTTTTTAAAAACACACAGATACTGTATATCAATAATAAATGTGAAAAATCTTTCAGATGCAGGAGAGCTGCAACATAATTAACAAATGAGTAGCTGCTTCCATATTTTCATATGCAGCACCATTAGTTTTTGAAGCTATAAGTAGCACTATATTTTAAATACAGATTGGGACGGGCTTTTATGAAATCAATTTGGGATTATAGAATCACATATACAGTTTACAACATGTGGCATGCTATTAAATTACTGGGCATTTCATTTTAAAACTATTAAATAATGCATAATTGCAGAATAAACACCACACCGCTGTCCTGCCCATAAGTAATCGAGTATCCCGTGTTATAAATGCAGCTGCAGCTTGGGCTCATGAATGCCTGAATACCAGCTGTTTCAGTCTATCTCAGGCATGCAAGAAATACACATCCCATTGTCACTCACATGCTAACTAATAGTTAGCACAGAAGCTCTTCAGTACAAGTGAAGACACAATGTTAGTCAAAGTAAGCTGAGCGGCCACTACAAAAAGGTTCATTGCAGCAAACCTAATCAGACATTTAAATCAACACCACCTAGCTAAACATGGATATTTTAAAGAAGCTAACAAATTTAAGCGGCTTAAGCTAAAGCTAGCTAGAGCTCAGAGCCAGACAAATGGGTTTAGCAACAGTTATAGTTATGTTGGTAATTGCTTAATATTTTTGTTTTTCATAACAAAGAATACAATTCTCCCATTCTCTTTGCATTTGTTATAGTCTGTGTTATAATGCTAACACATGGCACTGAAAATTTGGTCATTTTTCTTCCCGTGATTTCTCTTTCCCCATCTTCCATCGCTTCCTTTTGTCATTTTTAGCATCTCCTTATTCCTCTCTTCTCTAATTACCCAACAGTTGATAGTTTTTTTCCCTCTCCAACAAGCTCCCCAATCGCTCCTTCATGGTAATCATCCACAGCTGCACTGGAGTGGAGAAACACACATGGAGGGGAGAGAGAGGCCTGATATATTATTGTTTGGAGAGGTTATGATTTGTCTCTTTACGATCTGATGTCAGGGTTACTTTTAAAATCCTTCATCTCCCTGGTTCTGCCTGGTTTGCATGCGAGTTTGCAAATGGTTAGCTCAACAAATTAGTTAAAGGCCATGGCTCATTGCTACCATTTATAAAGATCTCCTCTCTCTCTTTCTGCCTTTCCTAGAAATGACAGAGAGAAAAAATAGGAGCACGCAGGGCTAATGAGCAATTCACCCACCGGAAGTGCCAGAATTTCAATCCCTGCAGCTTCACTAGAAGTGGTAAAAGACATCTTCCACTCAACCAGAATGTGATGCTGATTGCTTATTAGCATGACAAGAGGTTAGAGCCTTCTCCAAGGCAGCCGTTTGGTTTCTGCCAACTAGAAGAGCTCTCACTTTTTAACTAAACAGAGGATGAAACAGATGGACAGAGCCTGGAAACTCAGAGACACACCAGCATCTTTAAATCTGGAAACGGGTAGTAAAGACATAACGTCCTGATGCTGCTAGTTAGCATGAGTCCCTACACTGATACCTGTTCGTCTTAGAAAATCAACAGCAATATTTTAACTGAGGGCAGCTGTTATAAATGTACGTTGGTGGTGAGTAATACCATTTTTATGAACTTTATTTCACTAGGAAATGTTACCCATAAAATGTAGTCTTTTCTGCGATAGGCCCAGGATACTGTTTTGCAACATCTTGTAACTTGGGACTTACATTTAACACAATGGTATTAAACACTAACCACTCTCCTATCTGTGCCGACACATTGTTACTTAGGTTTAATTAGTGTAGCATGGACCCCTGTCAGAGAATACCCACTGGTACAGCCCAAGCATTAAACAAACCATAAAAGAAATCCTCATAAAGGAAGGCTTTTATGAGGCCATTAAAATTCTATATGTGATATCTGTGTGGATTGAGCGGGGGAAGAACAACAGGCAGAGAAAGCGATAAAGTAACAGGAGGAAACCAAGACTGTAAGATAAACCAGTAATCAAAGTGCCAATTAAAAACACCAGGACAACACAAAGCTCACAGATACAAATGTGATTGTTCTATAGTTCAATTATCAACAGATCAGATTTAATCCATTCACAAATAATTTGTTGTTTTTGTTTCACCAGTTCAACTTTAAAGTCCTTTTTGTCACATTTTTCTCTTTTTCTGTGTTTTCTGATCACTTAAACAGACCCTCTATTTAGAAAATCTAAATGTTGCCCCTAAACTGTTGCTCCTGGTAACCTAGCATTAGCATCATCACGTCAAACTGCACTCTATGCTGCAGGCGAATGAATTTGGAATCATCATAGTTTTTTATTGGTGAAATTAACACTACAAAAAAGCACAACACAGAAAACGTCTGACACTAAAGATAACAGCAACTTAAGCTAATGTAACTATCTAGCCATCTGTCACCTCTGCATGGTGGCTGCAATGCTCCATTTGTTGATGCTTCCTAGAGTTCACATGATGGGGACTCAAAGTCCTCTACTCTGCAATGAGGCAGTAATTTGCATGCTTGACTTGGATTTTACAGTTACGTTCCAACACTTCCACTTAACTGAGATATAATAAATTGGGTAGTTTGTAATGAGAAACCTGTTTGCATGTGAACTAATGCGCTTCACCATTTGATTCTGGATGTCTGAACGGGGGCATCGGTTCTAGTGTCCCCAGTGCTTGGTTTGTGAAAATACTTATGCAGTCTACTTTATCTTCAATAAAAAAAAGCACCTTCATCCATTGGTAACATCAAATGACTGGAGCATAATGTATATCTTATATATTTATATATATATATAATATAATATATATATATATTAGGGGTGCAACGATATTCGTATCGATATTGAACCGTTCGATACAGTGCTTTCGGTTCGGTACGCATATGTATCGAACAATACAATTTAAAAAAAAAAAAAAAATTAATTTTTTTTTTTTTTTTTTTTTTTTTTTTGCCCGTTCTACATCAGAATTGTTGTCTTGAGGCCAAGAAAGATGCCAAGCGGATTTATTTTACCAAGTGGATCATCATGGCCTTGCCATATTGGTCCATTTGATTGACCTTTATTATAATTATGAATTTATTTTATTTTCAGTTGCAAACGGGACAGACATGACTGTGGGATAGGACAGGGGGAAAGAATGAAAGAAAGAGGGGGAGAGAAAGAAAGAAAACCAAAGGGGAGAAAAAAAAAAGAATACAAAATTTGTAATTTATTTTATCAACTTTCCTTCTGACAATGCTGTCTGTGTTGAGCGCTCAGTGAATCTGCATTTGACTACTCCGCCTAGGCTCGAGAGTGCAGCCTAGGCGGAGTAGTCGAACGCAGATTCACTGAGCACTCAACACAGCCATGGTCAGAAGGAAGAGCGCAGGGCAAGCTAGCGAGACAGAAGTGGACCTCCCCACCCTCATTCAGATCTGGCGTTTGGAATTATTTTGGTTTTCATGTGACGTATGACCCTGAAGGTAAGCGAGTCATGGACTAAAGTAAAACAGTATGTTGGATGTGCCATGCAATGCTCAATTACATGGGTGGGAGCTAGTGTGTTAGCGCAGTTAGCTCGTTAACGTGTTGGCCGTCTAGCCCCTCTGTATAGGGTAGCTCGTTAACGGAGATTTGCCGTGTTGTGGCGTTAAGGTTATTTCAACGAGATTAACGCTGACAGCACTAGTGGGAACACAACGAATATGACTGCACATTTACACCGACATCATCCTAGTGCAAAGACAAAAACAACAAGCATGCATGCTACAAACTTTAGCCGAGTCATTTAGACAGCTGTTAGCACAGGATTCTCCTTATGGAGACCTGATATGTTTAATATGCTGCTGAGAATATAGCCCAGAAGAAGCGGATAGTATAGCTTTTATTTTGGAAAGAGACATTTCTCTGTAATAAACTCTCTTTTCCAAAGATGAGTGATTCCTCAATCAGATACAGGGCTTGCAATATCGCTAGCCCGACGTCCTGGGGCTAGCGATTTTTTCAGTCGGGCTACCAAAATCTATCTCTCCCTGCCCGGGCTATTGTAGGAAGGAAAAATATATGTCAATGCTTTTGCATTCTTTCAGAAATGTAGCTGGGTAATTATGTCATTGGCATCGGTGAGCCACTGTCAATATGTGACATATTGAAATCCTGTTTGAATTTGCGCTTGTTTTTTGCTTTCACTTTGCAATCGTGCGAACTGTGTATAGAGAGCGACAGCACTGATCTGTGAGTGATTATAATTTGTGCACCAATTCCTCTGACATCATCGTATTAATCGTTAGCCTACTATGCAAACATGACAAGTGAAATCTCCCGCAGCAAGCTTAAACATGTGAGAGGTTGATCGCGCAGAGAATCGCTGAGCTTATGTGAGTGCGTGTGTAAAAGCAGCATGATATATATTTTAGTTCTGCTGAGCCAAATAAGACAGGTCAGGGTGAAGAAGTGACAGCCAAAGAAAAGCTTACCACAAAACGGAGAAGTTATGACAAATCAGACTATAAGGCAAAAAGAAAGTGCAGCTTTATGGTTTCATGGACAAAAGAATTTCTGTGGCTGCAATATGACTGAGCTAAAAAACAACACGCACAAGGGTTAGGGTTAAATTTAAAAACTGTACTTTTGATGTTAAAATATATATTTATAATTTTAATAAATGACAAATTAAAAAGGCATGAACATTTTTTTGTATCGAAAAAATATCGAACCGTGACACCAAAGTATCGAACCGAACCGAACCGTGAATTTTGTGTATCGTTGCACCCCTAATATATATATATATATATATAATATATATATATATATATATATATATATAACACAATATATACATTCAGATACAAAAGATGCTAGTCACTGGTATCTCAAGTCCCATTTTGAAGTCTTGATTTTAGCGTCTAAGGCCAGAATTACTAAACAGCACAGGTGCAGGGAGTTCATCTCAATATCAAGCACAAAAAATATGACTTTTTTGTAGTAAATACTGTCACAATTAGCAGTAATTAGCAGTACATTTTCCAAATGTAAATAAGTCATCATGTAAATATTCTCCCCCCCAAGAAAGAAACTCACAGAAATAAATATGCAACAGGGAAAACGTGCAAAAATCTTTAAGTTCCCACCTCTTACCTCTCTTCTCCCTGTAAATGCCAACAGTACTTTTTTTTTTTTTACAAAACCCAGTCTGCGCTGGTGGAATGCGTTAGTAAATCAAGCTGTTCGTTGGAGGTCAAAGGGACCACATTTAGACAAAAATGGTGGAATGCAAAAACTTTCTGCCAATTTATCTGGTTTTGAAAAGAAGCAGTCAAAGGGATCCCTCAAAAAATATTTCAAAGGGTTTTAATAGCTGTAAAATACAGTATAATGTAAATAATACATAAAATAAATAACGCATTAATCATATTAGTCATTGTGCAGACTTCCCCAGGTTGATTTCACAGATCAGATGAGCAGCAGCATTAACTTTTTAGCATAAGTCAACAGGTAACTGTCACCTTTGATTACTGCAGCTACTTCCTTCTTAACACACATGAAAGTTTCTAAAAGCACATGTAAATCTCCAATTTCTCTAGACAAAATTTGTGTCATTTGCATCAGTCATCTTCTTGCAGTTTGGAAGAGCTAAGGGTGCGGCTGGCTGAGTAGAGCATGTAAGAGGCAGGACACAGAAATATTCTCACATGGGTGCACTACGTACTTCAAAGCTTGAGTGTTTAGTAATAAGGTTGCGATGCACCTTGGGAAAATGCCTTTTTGTTATAGACTAGCTTTTGGAGCCAGTCTTAAATGGTCACGTAAGGGACTGCAGATATTTATTCAGCATTTTTAGCTCTCGTGGTCACTGCTCAGTGTGATACCTGTGTGTGTTAGCATTATCCCCAGATTTGTCAGGTCACTCAGGTCTTTCCCTTTATCAGAATACTGTTCAGAGAAAACAGCCACCATGTATTTGTCACCACAGTCATAATCTACCAGATTGTTATATGACAATGAATGCTGACCAGTTTCTCCATTCTTCTGTTCTCACCTGGTCATGTCCCTTCTTTTTCTTCTTCTTCTTGCCCCAACATCCCGAACTCTCTGCGTCCTTCCCTCCAGTATCACATAACAAGCCGTCCAACTCTTCCGACCCCCCCTGCTGGCTGTGAGAGGTCTCCGCAGCCAGACGGTACGACAAGTTCCTCAGGATGCACACACAGTTCTCTACAGTCTGATGGAGGGAGGTAATGAAAGAGACAGAGAGCAAAAGAGAAAGACACAGAGGTGACGGACAGAAAGATGGCCACCACTAAAACATCCCCAACCAAACTCTGGACCGGACTGTATACACAGCAAATAAACTCAGATAGACACACATGCAGCGCACATAATAAAAAGAGAGACACACACGCACGCTAATCCTATTGTTGTGAGTGTCTATGCAGTCAACAGTCACAGTCTTTGATCTTGTGAAGGATTTCTGCGGATTAAAAACTTCACATCTACTTGTGAAGGGCCTCCACTTGACGCACAAACTCACACACAAACACCCACACAGCTAGAAACACAAAAACACCATCAAACACACATGTATCTGTGGCACAGAAACATATACACATGGATGAAAATGTGCTCAAATAAAAGCGTGCTGAAAAACTCTCGCTAGAGATGTTTCTGTGTCACTGACCATCTGGATTGAGTAATACATGGTACACTCTAAGAAAAAAAAGACTAGAAAACAAAGAAACAAAATGAAAGTTTATTTTTAAATCAAAAAGGCTTGAGATCGCTCCCTATTGCTGATGGTGAAATCCCCAAATTACACTAAATCGACAAAAATTTTCACTTAATTCAATTAAATTCTGGTGAATTCAGGCGTTCCAATTACTTTCATGGCCACAGATGTATAAAATCTGCACCGAAGCATGAAGACCAAAGACTCTACAAACATTTGTGAAAGATTGGGTCGCTCTCAGGAGCTCAATGACTTCCAGTGTGGTACACTGGAATGTGAAAGTGAAAGTCCTGAGTGTCCATATCACTCAGGACCTGTCATGGTCCTGGTCACATTAACACCCTGGTTAAGAAAGCCCGGCCGCGTCTCTTCTTCCTCAGAAGACTCAGGGACTTTCATCGGCCACTGAAGGTGCTTAAGAACTTTTACTCCTGCACCATCGAGAGCGTCCTGATGGGAAACATCTGGACCTGGCTTGGAAAACAGCACCAAGCAGGACAGATGAGATCTGCAAAGAGTGGTGCGCTCGGCCGAACATATCATTTGATCAGAGCTTTCTGACCTGCTGTCCATCTGCACCAAGCAATGCAAGACCAAAGCCAGGAAGATCATGATGGACCTCTCCCATCCCAACAATGGACTCTTCTCACTTTTGAGGTCTAGGGAGCGCTTCCACTCCCTTAAGGCCAAAACACAGAGAATTGGGAGGAGCTTCTTCCCCCAGGCTATTCGGGTCCTGAACCAGGTGTAAGACTGCACGCACTCTGTTTATTTGCACACTTCTTATAATGTCTTTCATAAATTCTTATTTGCACATTTTACTGTAAATTTCTAAGTTAAAATCTGTAAATTTTGTAGTAATCTGTAAATCTTACTGTGAATTCTTACTGTCATTTAATGGTCAGGCAGCACAGCAATAAGCATTTCACCACGTCATACTGCATATGGTTGCTAGACTTGTAGTCAGACCGCCTAGACCAAGACCAAGACAATACCAAGACCAGAGGGTATCGAGACCAAGACAGACCGAGTCAAGACCAAGACAAAGTCGAGACGAGACCAAGACAAAAAAGTCTTTAAACTGCAGCCAGATTCTGCTTCATTTACGAGTGCGATGCACTCGCACAGCCCTCCTCACCCGTTTCTACGGTCTCACAAGAACGAGGGATCCGAGACCAAGACAAAACCAAGACCAAAGTCCGTCGAGACCAAGACAAGACCAAGACCACATAAAAGTGGTCTCGGGTCTCGAGACCACGACCAGTCTCGAGACATCCAACTCTAATGGTTGCGTGTGACAAATAAAATTTGAATGTGAATTTGATAGGATGCCACTAGTGCAACACGTACCGTCGTGAAATTTCCTGCCTACTAAATATTCCACAGCCAATTGTTAATGGTATCATATTAAAGTGGAAGTAACCTTGTGGATGCTGAGGCACATAGTGGCCAACTTTCAGTTCAGAGTCAGTCACTACAACTTTCACATGGCCTTCACATTAACTCAACAACAGTGCGTAGAGAGTGCAGTGTTGTTTTAAATTGTCAAATCATTTCCCCACATATTCACACTTATTACTGAACGTCTTCCCATCTTCTTTTTGTTCCTTCTATATCCAATGAAGTGATTCATCTCTTGCCAATATATATATAATTAGTCCACACATTGAGCACTGTCATAGCTCAACTGACCTCAGCCATGATCCTGGCAGATCATCTCATCTAGACACCAAATGACATTACCTCATTACTTAGCTTTCTATACATCCAATCGGCAAAATTCACGTAGGGTGCATTATTTAAGCATCTTCAATTGATCACAGTTACAGAACATCTGCAAGCCGCTGTGCAACCCACCTCTACCTCTGCTCCTTATTTCATGCTGTATGTGACTTAATATCTGTTATTAATGCTTGCTGTGTTCTGTGTTGCATTTTACTGTTGCTGTCCAAAAACAGAACAGAGCCACACTGACAGATATGAATTACTGCAGACTGACATAACAGTCTTCCTCTCACTACACCTGACACTCAAAAGAATACACAAAAGATTTTTAAAAAACTTTTAAACTTCAGCTTTTCCAGTCATGGCTCAAAGTTTCCTGAATCCTGTTGTTGGCATTAAATTTAAAAAATGTTTTTTCACAACTATATTGAGTTAAATGTTTAAAAATAGTTCAAACTTCTTTGGACAGTGAGTTATGTTTATGTTATGTTTATGTCAATATTATCTTGGATTAGGGTAGGCACCAATTTTAACAGGTCTGAAACTGGTTCACAACAACTGAGGTCAGATCTTTGTACTGGTAAATGGTTTTTTTGGAGTATTTAAACAAATGAATGAATACAGGGATCAACTGGTTTGCAAATCATTAAATCTTACACAGCTTTTTGGAAACAGCTTGTGTGCTGTGAATGTAGCAACAAAAAACTTTAACCTGTGCATCATTTTTTGCAGTGTATTTGTGGCCTGCAAGCTTTGAACATGATTGAGAGTGATTATGCATATACAGTGATCGCATACAGTCCGTGAGGGAAAAGATTAAACACATTTGCATTTTCCACATGCAGATTTATGCAAATCATAAATAGTACACATGTTTGGAAAGCAAAAGCACCACGTGCATTTGAGTTCTTGATGATATGTGTACAAACAAGAGGACACACACAAACACATTTGCAGGGCCCTTCCACATCATTCTCTTTTACTGTGTGCAGGTGTGTGTGTGTGTGTGTGTGTGAATGAGCTAGAGGCTATGTGAGTTTGTATGCCTTGCAGATATTTGCGTTCATTTGTGTGTATGTGCATTACCTTGCTGTCAATCTCGCTGCTCCCCAGAGCGGTCTGGATGACATAGAGCAGAGCGTCAGTCAGACCCTCGCACTCCCTCATCCTCCTACGGGCTTCCTCACCTGCAGAGCTCACATTCCTGTAAAACAGACAAACAGAACAGCTTTTAGAAGATTCCACACACCAAACTGCCCATTAGTTTTTGTTTCCTCACAGGTTTTCTGAGTGCGAGCACATGTGCTTGTTGAAATGTATGGAAATGCTTGTCTGTGTGACAGAGAGGAGAGAGGCTGGATGTAATGTCCTTTAAATGTCAGGCTATTAGAGATGGCTAGGAAATGCTTGTGCCCTCAGTGTCAGTGAGAAATGGCACCAAGACAAAGCTCTGCATTTGATTTTTCTCAGAGAATAACAAATAAATTTAAAAAGGCATGGTGCTGTTTAGCTGCAAGACGACACCTCTAATTCATTTTGTCACACAAATAAACACCAAATGCAGAAATATGAATGGCAATTATGCATTTAATTAAGTTATGTAAACTCTGTTAACATCTGAATACTCCATTGCCTCTGAATTGGCTATTTATGATAGTGAAGGTTATTACAATGTGTGGTTAATGTGCAGATACAAAACTCAAAAGTAGTGCACTATTAATGGCTTCACAAATTTTCAACCGTTTTAAAATAAATGCTTTCAAAGTAGACAAAAAAAAACTTATCAGCCAATGGGCATCCAAAAATATGGAATTAAGGCGATTATAATCAGGTATTACCAGTATGGCAATTTAAAAAGTTTTAGACTGTTTAACACACAATCATAGACTACCCTTTCCTTAGAAATTCAAGTGCTCTGTGTATCTTGTGTCCAGTACTGACTTTTTCCTGGCCACAAAAATAGCATTTAGCTTAAAAGTAGCTATCAAGTCAATTCAGAGAAATTAAAACTGATGCTGGGGGCTTTCCAACGATGCACTGAGCATTTCTTTTGCACTGACCTCTTGTCAGTCTCAGTGTATTTAAACATCACTGTGCATTTATTCATTAGTTATTATCAATCTCTGACTCTCTTTTACATTGAGTCTTTTGCCCCGTCTCCCTCCCTGAGCCTGGGTCTGCCTCGATTTATTCCTGTTAAAAGGCAGTTTTTTGTTCCCACTGTCATCAAGTGCTTGTTCATAGGGGGTTGTCTGATTGTTGGGGTTTTCTCTCGTGTTATTGTTGGATTTTTACCTTACAATTTACAACTCTTACAACTCTGTTGTTTTATGCAGCACATGTAGCAGAGTAGCACCACAGCTGAACACAGTAAGTTGTGATTGTTGGAAAGTCAGTCAACAATATCTCCTGCCCTACTTTTGTGATGTAAATATAACTCTAACATACTGCGTGTAAACACATGTGTACATTAAGAATTTTGGCCGATATAGACATACACCTCCTAAAAATAAATGTTGCTGGAAATCGATGTAATGGAAAAGGTGTTTCGCCTGCAGTGGGAGGATTAGAAGCCTCACATTTATCAACTCTTCTCAACAGTGAAATGAATAAGAGAGAAAAATGTAGAACATAAAACCCTCGATATTTAAACAAGCATATACAGTGCGGAAATTAGATATTATCCAGCAAGAACACAAAGAGAAACACTTGTACTGTTGGAGGCGTGGCTGAAGTATTTCTCTACCATAACCAGCATCAAAAAGCCTAACCAGTAAAAACAAAGGTGCATTCAGTAAGAAAAAAATATTTTATTGAGGGTTTACGGGAAGAAAAAAAGACCTTAATGGAGTGTCACTGGACTTACAACGACAAAAACAAAACTCAACTGACAAAAATCATGAAGAAATGGTAGAACAGCAAAAGTTCTAACTGTTAGAGTTTCCAAACAGTGTATAAACTGAATGAGGTCCTGTACTGGTAAATGGTTAGATGTCTGATCCCAAGCTACTCGTCCTAAACAAAAAGGCAAAAGCCATATTTATTCACTCCTAGGCTGTGTTTATAAAAGCTACCAGTTTTCAAAGCTTCATGGAATCACTCTGGATTTTTTTTTAATAGCCAGTCATGTTTGTTTTAATACCCAAGTCTGTTGAGGTCGTGTAGTTCTGAATGTATTGGTGAGAGTTTGAGAGAGAGGCCTGACCTTAAATGTAATGCAAAAAAACCTCCAAACATGTAGCGGTGAAGTTACATGTTTAAGTAATGCAGCGGGCTGTTTAATTCTGACCCTCAGCGGAATGTCTCTCAGTTTTATTAAGTTATGAGAGCATTATATTTTCACTATACTGTCAAATAATTGCTTAAATATTTCAGGTTGTTGACAATCTGTGTGCTAGTCTGAATCTTTCTCTTTTTGTCTTGAGCCCAAACACACAGACACACTGACTAAAAGCACTGTGAGCCACACAGGGCACACGCCGATAAACGCCAAAGTAAAGAACACTTAAGAATATTTGTAAACCTCTTTATATACTTCTTTCTTGCAGACATTTCCCACATTTTGGCTACTACCTGCTAATAGATTCAGTTTAATTAACCACACTCAATTACAGATAATTAATCCCTCTGAAGCGTTCCCTTGCAAACCACTGCTACAGATTATCTCTCATTATGATCTTTCGGTGTGAAGAATCTAAATAAGGAGAGAATCACAATGCAGGACAAAGGTTATATGTCTATAAAGCAGGTTTTAAAAGCGAGCACAATTGATTAACCCACAGCGTGCCGCTACAGCTGAGGGAAAATGTCCATCGACGAAAATGTCACTCTTTGAAGAGCCTATTTCTTTGTCTTTCTCTAATCTTTAATTCTCTAATCAAAAAACAAAGTCTCATTCGATATATTTATTTAGCTTTGCCCTTGTTTGTGTGCACATTTAGTTCTCTCTTTGACAGCTGGCAGGATGTATCTACAAGTACATGGAGCAATTTAATGTCCAAAACTGCATTATAATCCATCAGTAGTTCTCATTTTGCTCATTTAGGGACTACATAATGGACAATTTAGATTGTTGCTTTCAGATTTTAATGGCAAATGTTTTTTGTAACAAAGCAACAAAGCAAAAGAAAGTCCACAAAAAATCATTGTAAAGAAGGATTCTGCAAAAAGGCTATATCAAGTCAGTGATTATTACAGGCCTTCAATGTATTCTCTAACCCACACAGATCATTCGTTCTATGGACTGATGGTAGATCAGTTGAGAGCTAAAGAAAAGCCTGTTGCCTTATTATATAAGACTGCAAGAGTTGGTGCTGCATTTCTGTGTGTAGTTTCAGTGAGAAAGGTTCAAATGTCCCCTGATGAGAAGCATTTAAAAGAATCACATTCTTGCCTTCATTCACCCATATTGATACCAGATAGTGACGTAATTTGTCCCAGAAGCGTGGCAGAGGCATGTCTGCAAGTACAGTGAATAAATGGGTTAACTGTCTCTTCATTAGCTGCCATATTCAATGCACATAATTCACATTCAGCAGTCTGACAGCACAAGTTTTAGCTCTTCCCGTTAGCCGGTTCGACAGCATATGGCGTGAAGCAGCAAGTTAGCAGAGGGAGAAAATGTGCCTGTGTGAAAGTGAGAGACAGTGTGGCTGAGACGGCGTGAGACAGAAGAAGAAAGGCATAAAGGAGGGATAATATGATCGAGAGAGGAGAAACGGAGTAATAGGACGAGATGGAAATGGAGCGAGGGAGGAGAAAGTGACTAAAAGAGGGAGAGAGAGAAAATGAGAATGTGAGGCGGATAATGGGAGATGGAAGAGAGAGAGAGAGAGAGAGAGAGAGAGAGAGCAGGTGGCCGGCGATATACCAAACCCGCCATGAAATATTCAATCTTTAATCAGACTCCCAGCATTCCCTAACAAGGCGTGAGAAAGATGAATTAGCCCTTCGAGTTTAGGGAGCTGATCCACACAAAGCTATCTCCTGCAACACACTCACGCCAACTAGAATCAAAAAACACACACGCACTGCTGTATCAGATGTGTGCCTTCTCTCTCTCTCACTCACACACACACACCACACACACACACACACACACACACACACACACAACACACACAAACACACACACTACAGACACACCAAAGCCAGTTATGTGTAGCTTATTTTCACTGGGGGAGGATGAGGAGATATATCGCGGCTGAGATTAATGGCCCACACACTGAGTTAGGCAGAGGGACAAACAGACATGCGCGTGTCGACAGGAAGCAAGACATGCAAATACAGTCATGGCAGCGTTCCCACTCAGCTCCCGCTGCACCCTGTGCCACATCCTCGAGAGGAAATGTGTCGAAATAGCCCCCAGTCCAACTGTCAAAAAATTCAGTGAATGATGTGAGCTGCTGCATTATTAAAGCAAACTTATTTGTTCTGTTGTATAACGTGCTGTCAGTGTGCAGGGATATGGACAGATGCAGGGTCGATTCAACCAATAAGGTACGTACAGACTGTTTTAGGTGGACTTGTCATAATACTGCAAGCTATGTCTTCTGTTCGTATTTTGATGCAGAAGGCTGTGATGGATTCAAATGAATAGCACATCAAAAAATGTCTCGTAGACTGCTTACATGTCTGCATCAGAAAGATTTATGAGCTCAGAGTCAACCACAGAAATTTCATCATGAAGATTTTGTAATGCTGAAAGCCTCTCACTGATACAAAGATTATGAATCACTATTGTTTTGGATTGTGACCTCTGAAAATGCAAAACCGATCAAGTCTCCTCGTCCAGTTTCACATATGTGTTGTGTGAACCTCTCACATGGTTTCATTTAGGTCACTACTTAAGGCAGAAAGACATCCAATTTTGCACAAAAGTTGAGTATAAGAGAAAAACCTGGTGTTTTTCTACTCTTTCTTTCTTCCTTTGTAGCCTGACATTTGCCTGGAACCTGAAGAAGAAACTGGACGTGCTCCAGTGACGCTCTGTGGAATCATTTGTTTAGATTTGAGTCGCAAATTACATCACCAGCTGCTAATATATCCTCCTTTGTAGTCTGGTTGTACTCATCCCGGTGTTTTTGCCCCAAGTGGCAAAACCAGTTTGTTGTTTCCATCTTCTGCAGAAACAATTTTCTTGGATATTTTACAAAGTATTGTGTTTAGTTGGTGGTTGTTGACCCAAGGTTTCCCAGAAGAACATTACTCAAAGCATCACACTCTCTTGCTCTGCCAGCTTGCCTTCTTCCCATAATGCATCCTGGTGCCAGGTGTTGTTCAGGTAACAAATAGTGACATACTGTGTGTTATCAGAACCAGCTTTCACATTTTTTCATACGCAAAAGGTTTATTTTTAATCCAACGTGCTGGAGTAAAAGACCCAAAACAAAATGATAAAAGCACGTGTCACTACTGAACTGTAAGACTAGCACCACGTCTCCAGTGAGAAAAAGCAAAGCCACAGCAGCTCTGAAGCCAAACGATGACTCATCTTAAATGCAGCTAATTCTCTCAGTTCTCTCTGTGTATAGGGCGTTAAAAATAACACAGCGTACAATTTAAAAATAACACTGTTTTAACTAACAGAGACTTTTTTAGATGTGGCCGGTAACAGTAGGACTGTGAACAGCACAACATCTTCAAAAAGAGACTTCTCCAGTTGTATGTTGGATTCTTGAAATGTGTGAATACTGTTTTTTTCCTAAGGAACAGGTAGAGACACCTACCGCAGACAGCCGGTGGCATTGCGGAGAACCTGGGAGGAGTGTAGGTGCAGTTTGCGGTCCTCTTGCGTGTGCGGGGAGGTGTCCCAGCCCGAGTGTGGGATGATCACAGCGTTGGTCAGAACGGCCAAAGCGTCCTGGATGATGGGCATCTTCAGGGCATCACATGATGACAAGTTCCACAAAACACCTGAGGATGGCAAGGAGACGGAAGTTGAAAAACAAAGAAGAGTTCAGAGAAAAGAAAAGGAAAAGCAGGAAGGAGACAGAAAGAAAGGCAGACACAGAAACATCTTCAGGCCAGAAACCACTTAAATATTTAGTAGGTTTTAGTGAGCTGCTTGATTCAGCAAACACTGCAACACAGACAGCTACTGGCTTTACAGCAATCTGAAGAGCCAGACACATGTTCTTAAAACTAGCATGACAGACATTTCCAGAGCTTGACATGTTACAGGAAGTAAAGCAGGTATGGATAATGAAATTAACAATGGCAGACGACGCCAGCGGTTATTGTTCTATGCAGATGTCTGTGTATTCTCCATTGCATTGTCAGTATTCAGACATGCCCTCAAAAACACTCCAAAATATCCTTCTGCCTTTCTGTCCTTTATGTAAATAAAAGCTTGCACAGAGCGAGTAAAACTGTGGCCTTATAGGCAGACGTAACTAGATTTAACCGATGATGCATACACCCATTCATGGGGCCAAGAGCATCACTGAGCTGTTTGATTATAAATTTAGGATCTGGGCTTCGTGGTCATTAGTTATTATTGAAGATGTTGGAGGGACATGTTAGACTGCACTTATTAAAACATCAAATGACGAATTATTTCATGAAGGTGGTGTTCTAGTCCTTCGGCAGACACTTGTAGAATGAACGCCACACTGTAGTGAAGCTGCTCTGGTATCACTCAAACGCTGTCAGGAAACTACCACTGTGTTTTGTACTACCCAAAACATGTACATGTACTGTTTTGTACTGCCATGGATCAAATAAAGAAACAGACAAACAATTACTAGTGCAGAGATATCCGTAACTATCCAACTATTAAGAGTTTTTACTTCCACAGGAGTAAAGTCTGCTACGCTAACGCCTTATAACTAACCTTAAAGTTTAGAGTTTCAAGTCACCGGTGGGCTGCTGTAATTAATGATGTACTAAAGGCAGTAAATCACTTAGACAAAATTCCACTGCACATTTCTCCTGTTCTTAATCCTCACCTGAATTGAACATACAGTGACCAACCAACCAAGAAACTGGAGTAACTTTCCTCTATCCTACCACTTAAGGTCCACTTCTCTAGCCAGTTGCCACACACACACATATAGTTCGCTGACTTGAGTGACTCACCCACAGAGACACACAAACACATACAGTGCACATATCAGGCTGAACCTATCAAGAAAAGGACAAAGAGGGTAAGAGGCAAATCACCATATTTCGACATTGAGCACTGCGATTTCTTGAGAGGTTTCACATACGTATAAGCGCACACTCGTGCACGCAAATTGTGATAACCTTGAAGTACTACAACGTCGTAATTCTTGTTGACCTTCATCTTACAAATTGCCTGCGCTCTAATCTATGTATTCCTGTAATTATATGTTAAAGCATTTGAGAGTGTCCACCCATAGTCATATCTGCACTTATCTAGCACTCTCTTTTATGGTAGTAATTATAGCCGTAGTAGTGGTAAAGCATCCTATCCTCAGATCTGTGTGGGAGTGTGTGCTTGGAATAAGGCGTCCTCTCTTCGGAGCTGTGTTGTTCACTCACGGCTGAGCAGCAACTCTGTAATTACAGCTTCTGTTATCTGTCTTTGTGAGTTTGTATGAATTTGTTCTCGTGTGCGTTTGTGTGCACGTCTTTGAGTGCCATCTAAGCCCCTTGACAAATCAGTCTTAACCCTGTCTGCTGTTTGGACCCTGTGTGTTTAAGACGGTGCAGTCCCGCTTTGTGGTCAGAAGGAGTTTCTAAATGATTAGCTTCTGGTTCTATGACAGCAATTAGCTGGGAGTGTCATGTTAGCAAAACAGACTAGCTGCCACTTCATTTTTTCTCCTGCTCAACAGGCCAAAGGCGGCATGCTGTTTCTTGTTTTCTTCAGTAACCTTGGCATTTAATATAATAATTGCAGCTGACTTTTGCATCTGTGAGTCAGCGAATTTTGGTGTCTTTAACTCTTTAAAGGTGCCATTTGCTAAGCGTACAGATCTTGCTGAATATTAGCTTAGCAATAGCAATACTGGCTACAGTAAAAAACTACATCTCATTAATTCTACTAAAAAATGCTTTCTTAACACTTCTCATCTTGTTAGCTAACAAAATACGCTGTTATATCAAAGGACAGCCTAACTAGGGTTTTGTTCAGAGATAATAAATGATAAACTCTGACTTTAGTACCTTAATATCTTTAGAGTAATCATCTCAAAGTATAACACCTCATTAATCATTATTTTTGGAGCAGACAGCATTATCAAGCAATGTTCACAGTTAGTGCCTGCTTTTAACATATGACCTGCTAAATGGGATAGTAAGGGACAGTAGACAGCAGTAGTCCAGGAGGAGGGAAGCAAAAACAGCTGGCAACTGCAAAGGCTGAGTGAGTTGCATGTGAGGATGGACAATAAGGAAGTAGAAAAGGACTTGTATCAGTGGGCTAGGCAGAGAGACTGAGCTAGAAAGGATGTGCAGCAGGTTAGGGTTATCAAGGGCAGGAATGGAAGTGTGCTAACAGGTGAGGAGAGTGTGTTAAGAAGATTGAAGGAGCAGGAGGTGCTCATGAGTGTAGAAAATTAGAGCGTGGAGAACAGATGTGAATCATGATGTCACAGACATATGACGTGCAGAGGATTAGCAAGAAGGAAGTGAAAAGAATGAGGGGTGGATAGGCAGTTGATCCAGATGCCATACATGAGGAGGTTTGGAGATTTCTATGGGAGAGGGCTGTTGAGTTTTACACCAGTTTGCTTATCAATTTCAGAATGAGGCCTGAGGAAGAAGTTTTCTAGTACTCGTTTTCAAGAACAAGAAGCAGAGCTGTAGCAGCTACAGAGAGACAAAATTCACGAGCCATACCATGAAGATATGAGAAAGAGCATTTATGTGAAAATGGAGCAGTTGTTCCATTTTCACATAAATGGCCTCCTTGACTCCTGACTCAAACCAGCGTTCCTCCCTAACCAGGATGTCTATAGTCTCATCACTGAAAGAGTGGCCATTGTGGAGTCTTGGCCTGATGAGGTAGCTCTTCTGCACTGAGCAATCTGCTTAACCAGGTTGTTTGGTTTCCCCGATGTATAATTCACAGCATTCCTCCTGTAGTGCCCAACTGTGTACAGTATATTACTCTGTGCCAGGGGAAGTGATCCTTGGGGTGGACTAGTTTTTTGGCGTAAAATGCCTTGGGGGTTGAAAGCCAAAGAGACAGTGTTTCAAGAAAATGTAACTCATTTGTTCTCATAATTCTGACACATAAGGCATCATCAAAATCTTTCATTTAGACATACTGTATGAATGAACAACAGTGATCTGTAGTGAGGAGATGAAAGAGAGCCTGGAGAAGTGGAGGTATGCACTGGAGAGAAGAGGAACAAAAGTCAGTTGAAGCAAGACAGAACACATTTGTTTGTGAGAGGGAGACAAGTGAAAGGGTGGGAAAGTGAACATGGTAGAGACGGTGACAGTAGATGAGTTTAAATACCTGGATTCACCAGTCCAAAGCAACGGACAGTGCACAAGAGAGGTGGAGTGTCAGGAATGATTTATGACAGAAGAAAAGGAGCAAGAGTGAAAGGGAAGCTTTACAGGAGAGACCTTCTATAATGTATACTTGGAGATGGCAGCATGAAAAAAAGAGACAAGTTGAAGATGTTAAGATTTTCATTGGGAGTGACCAGGATCAACTAGAATAGAAATGTATATATTTCAGATGGAGAACTAGGGTTGAGTGGTTTGAAGACAATGTTAGAAAGGTAATAGCTAGATGGTTTGGACATGTGCAGAGGAGAAATACTGGATATATTGGACAAAGGATGCTGAATATGGAGCTTGCACGCAGGAGAAAAAGAGACTACAGAGAGGATTAATGGGTGTAGTGAAGGAGGTAATGCAGAAGGCTGGTGGGACAGAAGAGGATGCTAGAGATCAGGTGTGATGAAGACAGATGATCTGCTATGGCGACCCCTAAAGGGAGCAGCTAAAAGAAGAAGAAGAATCAGCTAGGCACAAAGGTCTCGGATGTAATTTAAGTAAACAACACAATGCACCGATTAGTTCTCTCTTGGACAGTAATGTTAAGTAGTACTTGTTGTTTTTTAATGACACTAAAACTACAAGCAGTTTATATAAGGATAGTTTTGGTTATGTAGATTTTCAAAATTTCTGATGAAACCTTAATATGTTTTTTTTAAATTCCACTTGTTGCTAGCAGCATCACTTTGAAGAATCAATGTCTTTATATCTCTGGATTCTCATGCACACCTTATGAGACAGATATTTGTTACATTGTTACATTTGGGCCACACATACACCCACAGCATTCACACAATACTTGCCACAACCCATGTTAAGCATGCTTCATGACTTCTGGGCAAGATGAGGCCCACACAACACTTGGCAGTGTGGTGACAGAGTTTTGCCAAAAGGCCCAAATGTGTCTGATATTTGGGCAAAGTAGCTCCTACATGCATGTTTATTTAAAAAATGATGCAAAGAATTAGGACATTTTTCCTGGAAAGTCAAGAGGATTGCAAGAGCTTGTAATTTGCAATTAATCCATGCATGCATGCCTAAATTGTTACTAAAATCTTTTAAAGTGTTAGATGTTGTCTATCCCAGTAGCATTTCCTAATCTGTGAACAACACAGAGGCTGCTTATTGTGATGAAAATAGCAAATTAGCTCTACATTCTGCAAAATCTAAAAATAATGCATTTAATGTCCTGTGGCTAAACTGTTGGAGCACAGTGTGTAATTTCCCATTGTTATAGATCACACATTAGTTATAGCCTGTAAGTTGATGTCATTTTTCATATTTCAAAATTTGATCATATAAATATCTATTTTCATCTCTTTTAACTTAGTGGTGTCTAAACAACTCTGACAGATCTGCTCTTCAGTATTAAATTTGGTCTGACGGATTTAACATGTCTGCAACTTGCAGTGTTCTAATGAAAAACAGTGACT